GGCCATCCAGACTCGTATTGAGTGGAATCTTTGGCCATCCAGACTCGTATTGAGTGGACGAGAATCTTTGGCCATCCAGGCTCGTATTGAGTGGAATCTTTGGCCATCCAGACTCGTATTTAGTGGAATCTTTGGCCATCCAGAGTCGTATTGAGTGGAATCTTTGGCCATCCTGACTTTTATTTAGTGGAATCTTTGGCCATCCAGACTAGTATTGAGTGGACAAGAATCTTTGGCCATCCAGAGTCGTATTGAGTGGAATCTTTGGCCATCCAGACTCGTATTGAGTGGAATCTTTGGCCATCCAGACTCGTATTTAGTCGAATCTTTGGCCATCCAGACTAGTATTGAGTGGACGAGAATCTTTGGCCATCCAGAGTCGCATTGAGTGGAATCTTTGGCCATCTAGACTGGTATTTAGTGGAATCTTTGGCCATCCAGACTCGTATTTAGTCGAATCTTTGGCCATCCAGACTCGTATTGAGTGGAATCTTTGGCCATCTAGACTCGTATTTAGTGGAATCTTTGGCCGTACAATGGTTTAACTGGGGAGAATCTGATCCTCGAATCGCTGCGTGTAGCCACGTCAGACTGAAAAATACGGCTGTTTCTAATGTCGTTGTTTAGCCAATTCTAGCGTTGTTTAGCTGTTTCTAATGTCGTTGTTTAGCTGTTTCTACTGGCGTTGTTTAGCTGTTTCTACTGGCGTTGTTTAGCTGTTTCTACTGGCGTTGTTTAGCTGTTTCTAATGTCGTTGTTTAGCCGTTTCTAGCGTTGTTTAGCCGTTTCTAGTGTTGTTCAGCTGTTTCTAATTTCGTTGTTCAGCTGTTTCTACTGGCGTTGTTTAGCTGTTTCTACTGGCGTTGTTTAGCTGTTTCTAATGTCGTTGTTTAGCCGTTTCTAGCGTTGTTTAGCCGTTTCTAGCGTTGTTCAGCTGTTTCTAATTTCGTTGTTCAGCTGTTTCTAATTTCGTTGTTCAGCTGTTTCTACTGGCGTTGTTTAGCTGTTTCTACTGGCGTTGTTTAGCTGTTTCAAATGTCGTTGTTTAGCCGTTTCTAGCGTTGTTTAGCCGTTTCTAGCGTTGTTCAGCTGTTTCTAATTTCGTTGTTCAGCTGTTTCTAATTTCGTTGTTCAGCTGTTTCTACTGGCGTTGTTTAGCTGTTTCTACTGGCGTTGTTTAGCTGTTTCTAATGTCGTTGTTTAGCCGTTTCTAGCGTTGTTTAGCCGTTTCTAGCGTTGTTCAGCTGTTTCTAATTTCGTTGTTCAGCTGTTTCTAATTTCGTTGTTCAGCTGTTTCTACTGGCGTTGTTTAGCTGTTTCTACTGGCGTTGTTTAGCTGTTTCTAATGTCGTTGTTTAGCTGTTTGTGCTGGCGTTAAGCTGTTTCTTTTATAGTATAGAATTACTTAACCCCCCCCCCCCTCCATCTGTTATACCACATTAGGATCAAACATCAGTCGCCCAATGGCCTGAAATCTGAAGCTAAGCTGTATCGCATCAACCCTGGCCTCAGACTGACTCATTTGTATCGCGATCAGGACAGTGACACTTAATTAGTGACAGGACTGTATGGGGGACGCCTAATTGAGTTAAACACATACGCTTGTTGACACATCGTTTTTAAGTACAATTAAATGACCGCCATTGTTTATTTGGCCATCTCTGGCCGCCGTTGCTTATTTGACCATCTCTGGCCACCGCTGCCGATTTGGCCATCTTTGACCACCATTGTTTCTTTGGCCACCTCTGACCGCCATTGTTTTTTTTTGGCCATCTCTGGCCGCCGTTGCGTATTTGCCCATCTCTGGCCACCGCTGCCGATTTGGCCATCTTTGACCACACTTTCTTCCATTCTCAGCAGGTGTGTAACACCTAGAAGGGAGATGTGCGTGAGTGCGTGCGTGGGTGAGTCTGTGTGAAACATAATCTTTCTAACCGCTCACACTGGCGTAAAGCTAATATCTTTTTTTAAAAGTCCGTCTTGTACAAGTAGTTGGACTGACATATTATCTACCTGAGGTCACGTTCCTGGGCTGGGTTCAACTTCTATCAACGGCGATAGGCAATTAAAATATCACTCACTCCATCAAGGAATCATCTGACAAGTGGTGTGCTGCTTGACAAGTGTCGCTGTCAGTTGGGGTCGTTGTTTACAGATGTCAGTTGGGGTCGTTGTTTACAGATGTCAGTTGGGGTCGTTGTTTACAGCTGTCACTGGCTCGTTGTTTACAGCTGTCACTGGGGTCGTTGTTTACAGCTGTCACTGGCTCGTTGTTTACAGCTGTCACTGGCTCGTTGTTTACAGCTGTCAGTTGGGGTCGTTGTTTACAGCTGTCAGTTGGGGTCGTTGTTTACAGCTGTCACTGGGGTCGTTGTTTACAGCTGTCACTGGGGTCGTTGCTTACACACAGCTTTACTGGGGTCGTTGTTTACAGCTGTCAGTTGGGGTCGTTGTTTACAGCTGTCAGTTGGGGTCGTTGTTTACAGCTGTCACTGGGGTCGTTGTTTAAGCTGTCACTGGGGTCGTTGTTTACAGCTGTCAGTTGGGGTCGTTGTTTACAGGTGTCACTGGGGTCGTTGTTTACAGATGTCACTGGGGTCGTTGTTTACACACAGCTTTACTGGGGTCGTTGTTTACAGCTGTCAGTTGGGGTCGTTGTTTACAGATGTCAGTTGGGGTCGTTGTTTACAGCTGTCACTGGGGTCGTTGTTTACAGCTGTCACTGGGGTCGTTGTTTACAAATGTCACTGGGGTCGTTGTTTACAGATGTCACTAGGGTCGTTGTTTACAGCTGTCAGTTGGGGTCGTTGTTTACAGCTGTCACTGGGGTCGTTGTTTACAGCTGTCACTGGGGTCGTTGTTTACAGATGTCAGTTGGGGTCGTTGTTTACAGCTGTTAGTTGGGGTCGTTGTTTACAGCTGTCACTGGGGTCGTTGTTTACAGCTGTCACTGGGGTCGTTGTTTACAGCTGTCACTGGGGTCGTTGTTTACAGATGTCAGTTGGGGTCGTTGTTTACAGCTGTCACTGGGGTCGTTGTTTACAGCTGTCACTGGGGTCGTTGTTTACAGATGTCAGTTGGGGTCGTTGTTTACAGCTGTCACTGGGGTCGTTGTTTACAGCTGTCACTGGGGTCGTTGTTTACAGCTGCCAGTCACTGGGGTCGTTGTTTACAGCTGTCACTGGGGTCGTTGTTTACAGCTGTCAGTTGGGGTCGTAGTTTACAGCTGTTACTGGGGTCGTTGTTTCCAGCTGTCACTGGCTCGTTGTTTACAGCTGTCAGTTGGGGTCGTTGTTTACAGCTGTCACTGGGGTCGTTGTTTACAGATGTCAGTTAGGGTCGTTGTTTACAGCTGTCAGTTAGGGTCGTTGTTTACAGCTGTCAGTTAGGGTCGTTGTTTACAGCTGTCAGTTAGGGTCGTTGTTTACAGCTGTCAGTTAGGGTCGTTGTTTACAGCTGTCAGTTAGGGTCGTTGTTTACAGCTGTCAGTTAGGGTCGTTGTTTACAGCTGTCAGTTAGGGTCGTTGTTTACAGCTGTCAGTTAGGGTCGTTGTTTACAGCTGTCACTGGGGTCGTTGTTTACAGCTGTCAGTTAGGGTCGTTGTTTACAGCTGTCAGTTAGGGTCGTTGTTTACAGCTGTCAGTTAGGGTCGTTGTTTACAGCTGTCACTTGGGTCGTTGTTTAAAAACAGCTGTCAGTTGGGGTCGTTGTTTACAGCTGTCAGTTGGGGTCGTTGTTTACAGCTGTCACTGGGGTCGTTGTTTACAGCTGTCACTGGGGTCGTTGTTTACAGATGTCAGTTGGGGTCGTTGTTTACAGCTGTCACTGGGGTCGTTGTTTACAGATGTCAGTTGGGGTCGTTGTTTACAGCTGTCACTGGGGTCGTTGTTTACAGCTGTCACTGGGGTCGTTGTTTACAGATGTCAGTTGGGGTCGTTGTTTACAGCTGACTGTCGCTGGTCGGTGTGACATAAGATGGTACGTCCGTCAAATGTCGCTATGTCAACAGTCTTGTCGGTCTTATGTCAACAGTCTTGTCGGTCTTATGTCAACAGTCTTGTCGGTCTTATGTCAACAGTCTTGTCGGTCTTATGTCAACAGTCTTGTCGGTCTTATGTCAACAGTCTTGTCGGTCTTATGTCAACAGTCTTGTCGGTCTTATGTCAACAGTCTTGTCGGTCTTATGTCAACAGTCTTGTCGGTCTTATGTCAACAGTCTTGTCGGTCTTATGTCAACAGTCTTGTCGGTCTTATGTCAACAGTCTTGTCGGTCTTATGTCAACAGTCTTGTCGGTCTTATGTCAACAGTCTTGTCGGTCTTATGTCAACAGTCTTGTCGGTCTTATGTCAACAGTCTTGTCGGTCTTATGTCAACAGTCTTGTCGGTCTTATGTCAACAGTCTTGTCGGTCTTATGTCAACAGTCTTGTCGGTCTTATGTCAACAGTCTTGTCGGTCTTATGTCAACAGTCTTGTCGGTCTTATGTCAACAGTCTTGTCGGTCTTATGTCAACAGTCTTGTCGGTCTTATGTCAACAGTCTTGTCGGTCTTATGTCAACAGTCTTGTCGGTCTTATGTCAACAGTCTTGTCGGTCTTATGTCAACAGTCTTGTCGGTCTTATGTCAACAGTCTTGTCGGTCTTATGTCAACAGTCTTGTCGGTCTTATGTCAACAGTCTTGTCGGTCTTATGTCAACAGTCTTGTCGGTCTTATGTCAAGTTTTATGTGCTCCGATAGTACACTTATTTTTATTTCAGTCAAAACTTAAAAATGGTTTGAACCCGTTGGAAACGGTTTGAACCCGGCTTAAAACGGTTTGAACCCGGCTTAAAACGGTTTGAACCCGGCTTTAAACGGGTTGAACCCGACTTAAAACGGTTTGAACCCGACTTAAAACGGTTTGAACCCGGCTTAAAACAGTTTGAACCCGACTTAAAACGGTTTGAACCCGACTTAAAACGGTTTGAACCCGGCTTACAACCAATTTGAATGACTGACCTTAGTTGTGTTGAATCTTCCTATAATCCATGAGTCAAACTGTAACAACGACGGGACAGTTTGCTCAGAGAATGTCCTTATGTCCTGTAGCATACAACGACGGGACAGTTTGCTCAGAGAGTGTCCTTATGTCCTGGACCCACTATAGAAGTCCTCTTGTCCTAGACACACTTTAATCCACTAATCCTAGCCACATACCTACTGTTTGTTTGACTTTCTTATCACTATACGCTTTTTCCTCTTGGTTTTTTAAAGGTCATTTCCTCTTAGGTTAAATCTAAATTTCTTTTCGTTGAATGGAACAGTTTTTTAAATTCCCGGAATGTTTCGAACCGCTTCAAATCCCGTCGAGGTTTTGTGCGCGTGGCTCGGGCCAGGGAGCGCGCGGCACTGGCAGCCCGCGAAACGTCGGCACCCATCATTGCACGCGCACCCCACGAGCGGGCCTGGTTAATTGGGGGCGGGTAAGTCTGGCTTGATGAGCACTCTATCGCCGCTCGAGTCTCGGATTTGTTTTATTAATTGGAGGATTACATCTTCCTTTGGCTCATTTCATTTCCCCCCATAAATATTGAACGGGGAAAACAGATAAGTTTTGCTAGATTTCACGCAAGTGTGTGTGTGAGAGTGTGTGGTGGTGTGTGTCATTTTATGTTTGTGTCAGTCGGTGGTTGTGTCAGTCGGTGGTTGTGTCAGCCTGTGGTTGTGTCAGTCTGTGGTTGTGTCAGCCTGTGGTTGTGACAGTCTGTGGTTGTGTCAGTCTGTGTCAGTCTGTGGTTGTGTCAGTCTGTGGTTGTGTCAGTCTGTGGTTGTGTCATTCTGTGGTTGTGTCAGCCTGTGGTTGTGTCAGTCTGTGGTTGTGTCAGTCTGTGTCAGTCTGTGGTTGTGTCAGTCTGTGGTTATGTCAGTCTGTGGTTATGTCAGTCTGTGGTTGTGTCAGTCTGTGGTTGTGTCAGTCTGTGTCAGTCTGTGGTTGTGTCAGTCTGTGGTTGTGTCAGTCTGTGGTTGTGTCAGTCTGTGGTTGTGTCAGTCTGTGGTTGTGTCAGTCTGTGGTTGTGTCAGTCTGTGGTTGTGTCAGTCTGTGGTTGTGTCAGACTGTGGTTGTGTCAGTCTGTGGTTGTGTCAGTCTGTGGTTGTGTCAGTCTGTGGTTGTGTCAGTCTGTGGTTGTGTCAGTCTGTGTCAGTCTGTGGTTGTGTCAGTCTGTGTCTGTCTGTGGTTGTGTCAGTCTGTGGTTGTGTCAGTCTGTGTCAATCTGTGGTTGTGTCAGTCTGTGGTTGTGTCAGCCTGTGGTTGTGTCAGTCTGTGGTTGTATCAGCTGGTGGTTGTGACAGTCTGTGGTTGTGTCATTCTGTGTCAGTCTGTGGTTGTGTCAGTCTGTGGTTGTGTCAGTCTGTGGTTGTGTCAGTCTGTGTCAGCCTGTGGTTGTGTCAGTCTGTGGTTGTGTCAGCCTGTGTCAGTCTGTGGTTGTGTCAGTCTGTGTCAGCCTGTGTCAGTCTGTGGTTGTGTCAGTCTGTGTCAGCCTGTGGTTGTGTCTGTGTCAGCCTGTGGTTGTGTCAGTCTGTGTCAGTCTGTGGTTGTGTCAGTCTGTGGTTGTGTCAGCCTGTGGTTGTGTCAGTCTGTGGTTGTATCAGCCGGTGGTTGTGACAGTCTGTGGTTGAGTCATTCTGTGTCAGTCTGTGGTTGTGTCAGTCTGTGGTTGTGTCAGTCTGTGGTTGTGTCAGTCTGTGTCAGCCTGTGGTTGTGTCAGTCTGTGGTTGTGTCAGCCTGTGTCAGTCTGTGGTTGTGTCAGTCTGTGTCAGCCTGTGTCAGTCTGTGGTTGTGTCAGTCTGTGTCAGCCTGTGGTTGTGTCAGTCTGTGTCAGCCTGTGGTTGTGTCAGTCTGTGTCAGTCTGTGGTTGTGTCAGTCTGTGTCAGTCTGTGTCAGTCTGTGGTTGTGTCAGTCTGTGGTTGTGTCATTCTGTGTCAGTCTGTGGTTGTGTCAGTCTGTGTCAGCCTGTGGTTGTGTCAGTCTGTGTCAGTCTGTGGTTGTGTCAGTCTGTGGTTGTGTCAGCCTGTGGTTGTGTCAGTCTGTGGTTGTGTCAGTCTGTGGTTGTGTCAGTCTGTGGTTGTGTCAGTCTGTGGTTGTGTCAGCCTGTGGTTGTGTCAGTCTGTGGTTGTGTCAGTCTGTGGTTGTGTCAGTCTGTGGTTGTGTCAGTCTGTGGTTGTGTCAGTCTGTGGTTGTGTCAGTCTGTGGTTGTGTCAGTCTGTGTCAGTCTGTGGTTGTGTCAGTGTGTGGTTGTGTCAGTCTGTGGTTGTGTCAGTCTGTGGTTGTGTCAGTGTGTGGTTGTGTCAGTCTGTGGTTGTGTCAGTCTGTGGTTGTGTCAGTCTGTGCTTGTGTCAGTCTGTGGTTGTGTCAGTCTGTGGTTGTGTCAGTCTGTGGTTGTGTCAGTCTGTGGTTGTGTCAGTCTGTGGTTGTGTCAGTCTGTGTCAGTCTGTGGTTGTGTCAGTGTGTGGTTGTGTCAGTGTGTGGTTGTGTCAGTCTGTGGTTGTGTCAGTCTGTGGTTGTGTCAGTCTGTGGTTGTGTCAGTCTGTGGTTGTGTCAGTCTGTGGTTGTGTCAGTCTGTGGTTGTGTCAGTCTGTGGTTGTGTCATTCTGTGTCAGTCTGTGGTTGTGTCAGTCTGTGTCAGCCTGTGGTTGTGTCAGTCTGTGTCAGTCTGTGGTTGTGTCAGTCTGTGGTTGTGTCAGCCTGTGGTTGTGTCAGTCTGTGGTTGTGTCAGTCTGTGGTTGTGTCAGTCTGTGGTTGTGTCAGTCTGTGGTTGTGTCAGTCTGTGGTTGTGTCAGTCTGTGGTTGTGTCAGTCTGTGGTTGTGTCAGCCTGTTGCTGCCTGTGGTTCGCGGTCCCCTTTGACCCCAGCAACTTCTAGCACCACGCCCCCAGGTCGCGTAACTGATCACGTGTTAGGTTTGTGAACTCCCGAGACTTGAGTAAACACCAACTTGATAATGACACAATGGACATCAGCAAGTCACGTGACTTGAGTAAACACCAACTTGATAATGACACAATGGACATCAGCAAGCCACTGGCCAGTGTCAAGTACCAGCCTAGGCTGCGGGTCTATGCATATGTCCAAACTTTTCCCACAACTCGCGATAAACATTTTAAAACGCAATTGTGATTTAGGTCAGAGGTTAATGGATGACGTCAACCATATGGAGGGGGGGGGGGGGTGAAGAGTTTAAGAGCTAGCCAGTTGTTAATATCCTATCATTGCTTTTTCATTTGATTTGCCTCTAAGTTTTCATTGGCTAGAGCTGAATTATCCCGCCATTTGTCACGTGCCAACTGTTGCTGGAGCCATTAGAGTCACGTGATCGTTATAGCCGCGTGGTTGGGGTAAATGATCTTTAGGATAGTTTGTGCCGAGGTAGCGAACAGTAGCATTGGAATATCCCTAAGTTTGTGCCGAGGTAGCGAACAGTATCATTGGAATAGCCCCAAATTTGTGCCGAGGTAGCGAACAGTATCATTGGAATAGCCCCAAATTTGTGCCGAGGTAGCGAACAGTATCATTGGAATAGCCCCAAATTTGTGCCGAGGTAGCGAACAGTATCATTGGAATAGCCCAAATTTGTGCCGAGGTAGCGAACAGTAGCATTGGAATAGCCCCAAATTTGTGCCGAGGTAAAGAACAGTATCATTGGAATAGCCCAAATTTTAATAAAAGCCTCAAACTATTTCAACCTTCACCCACCCCTAGCCAGTGTCGGACATAGACACCAGTTGAGAAAGGTTGAGATTTTTCTTAGTCTTAACGTCTGTCAGAATGTCTTGGATACTTTCTTGTTTGAGGGTAGGGGCTCGGTGGTATAGTATCTGTTGGTGGTATCTGTTGGTGCGGGTTAGTGGTATCTGTTAGAGGGCTTGGTGGTATAGTATCTGTTGGAGGGCTGGGTGGTATCTGTTTGAGTTGCTCGGTGGTATATGTTTTAGGGGCTCGGTGGTATATGTTTTAGGGGCTCGGTGGTATATGTTTTAGGGGCTCGGTGGTATATGTTTTAGGGACTCTGTGGTATATGTTTTAGGGGCTCGGTGGTATATGTTTTAGGGACTCGGTGGTATATGTTTTAGGGACTCAGTGGTACATATTTTAGGGGCTGGGTGGTATATGTTTTAGGGGCTCGGTGGTATATGTTTTAGGGACTCGGTGGTATATGTTTTAGGGACTCAGTGGTACATGTTTTAGGGGCTGGGTGGTATAATTTTTAGGGGCTCCGTGGTATCTGTTTTAGGGGCTGGGTGGGTTGAGTAATGACTGCTCCACCCCCTGACTGTTCCAATTCTGATTAAGTCTTCTGTGTCGAGTGAAACCAACTCTAAATATGGCCTGTTTTGTTGTGTGGTTTCTCTAGATAAAGGCGGTAATCCTATTGGCTCTGTGCCGTTGGATCGTCCCAATGGATTTATCTCCACTACGGCTTCGGCGCTTTTCACGCACAAGCATATACTTGACCTCTAAATGTCTTAACTGTTTTAGTCTTGACCCACTATCTCCCTTAAGTCCTGAATCTTGTAACATTGACCCACTACCTCCTTAAGTCCTGAATCTTGTAACATTGACCCACTATCTCCCTTAAGTCCTGAATCTTGTAACATTGACCCACTACCTCCTTAAGTCCTGAATCTTGTAACATCGACCCACTATCTCCCTTAAGTCCTGAATCTTGTAACATTGACCCACTACCTCCTTAAGTCCTGAATCTTGTAACATTGACCCACTATCTCCCTTAAGTCCTGAATCTTGTAACATTGACCCACTACCTCCTTAAGTCCTGAATCTTGTAACATCGACCCACTATCTCCCTTAAGTCCTGAATCTTGTAACATTGACCCACTACCTCCTTAAGTCCTGAATCTTGTAACATTGACCCACTATCTCCCTTAAGTCCTGAATCTTGTAACATTGACCCACTACCTCCTTAAGTCCTGAATCTTGTAACATTGACCCACTACCTCCTTAAGTCCTGAATCTTGTAACCTTGACCCACTACCTCCTTAAGTCCTGAATCTTGTAACATTGACCCACTATCTCATTAAGTCCTGAATCTTGTAACCTTGACCCACTACCTCCTTCAGTCCTGAATTTTTTAACATTGACCCACTATCTCATTAAGTCCTGAATCTTGTAACATTGACCCACTATCTCATTAAGTCCTGAATCTTGTAACATTGACCCACTACCTCCTTAAGTCCTGAATCTTGTAACCTTGACCCACTATCTCCCTTAAGTCCTGAATCTTGTAACATTGACCAACTATCTCCTTAAGTCCTGAATCTTGTAACATTGACCCACTATCTCCCTTAAGTCCTGAATCTTGTAACATCGACCCACTATCTC